CAGGGAAAAAATAGTTGTTAAATTATAAACTAGTGTCCAAAAGAAACGTCAAGTGTCAAAATTGTTTTTTACTAAGTGAATTGTCAAGTATGAAAACATGCCAATTCGTATTGCACATCCCAAACAAAGCATAGTCGATAAAAAATACCGGGAACACGTGATCACTTCCGGGAAAAAACGTAAAATTTCGTGAAAGTGACATTTCCCTCTCTAGCATGTTCTGCACGTGCAGAAAAACTATATAAAACGGCTGATCAGACACGTTGATATCACAGCAACAAAAAGAACACAAGATATGCCACGTTTGACAGCCATCGAGAGAGAGAGAGCCGTTGGAATGGTCCAACAAGGAGCGCCACACGTCGACGTCGCCAGAAGGTTGGGCTGCGCACGCATCACTATCACCAGGTTGATGCAGCGGTTACGTCAGACAGGTCAGACGTCAGACAGGCCCAGGAGTGGAAGACCACGAGTAACCACGCCCCGTGAAGATCGTTACATCCGGGTATTACACCTGAGGAACCGCACCGTAACAGCGACGTCCACGGCGGCTACAGCACTGGGACACAGGATCAGTCGACAGACCGTCTACAGGAGACTACGGCAGTATAGTATCCGGCCACGTCATCCCTACCGCGGACCGCTCCTGACGCCTCGACACCGGAACAACAGACTGATCTGGGCCAGGCGAGTTCGACGTTGGCAACGGCGGGACTGGGCACGTGTTATGTTCTCTGATGAGAGCAGATTCCTCATCTTCAGAAACGATGGACGGCAGCTTGTATACCGACGATTTGGTGAACGTTTGGCGCCTAACTGTATCCAACAGGTCCGGCCGTTTGGAGGTGGAGGGTTAATGGTTTGGGGTGGCATATGTCAAAACGATGCTTGTCGTAATTCGTGGAAACCTGAATGCACAGCGTTATCTTGATGACATCCTACGGCCTGTTGTGGTGCCCTTTATTCAGCAACAGCCTCGTGGACTCCTTTTCCAACATGACAATGCAAGGCCACACACAGCAAGATTGACACAGAACTTCCTTGCCAACGCCAACGTACAGGTTTTGCCATGGCCCGCATGTTCACCGGACATGAATCCCATCGAGCACTTATGGGACCACCTCGATCGGCAAATCCGACGTCGCCGTGTGCCTCCAGTCAACGTCCAGGACTTGGAACGATGTCTCCACGAGGAATGGCAACGCATCACTCCCAACGTCATCAGACGTTTGACGTCATCAGTCCGTAGGCGTGTTCTGGCATGTATTGATGCTCACGGTGGACATACCCGCTACTGACTTGACTTTGAGACGTGTGGTGTGACATTCCCCGTTGTTTCTGTGATCAGTGCTCCAACGAAATGTTCATTTTTCGACCCCACCCATCTTTAAAGGCTTGTCATATTGGTTGTACAAATTTTATTGAAATGAAATTTTTGTACAGATGTTGTGAAAACACCAATCCTAAACTTCTGCATTGTTTAGTTTTTCTTTTATGTCGTTGCAAACAGGTGGTATCGTTTCTTTTGGACACTAGTTTAGTTATAAAATATAATATAAAGGGGCCCAGAGACTTTCTTCATTTTCAGATACTGCAGTAATCTAGACTTGCCAAACATTATAGACTTGCATGGGTTGTATTTGCTATATTTGTTTCAGGGTCTGTATGACAGACTATGGGAATGCATAAAAAATAAAAATGCAAATATCTCACATTTGGATGTTGTAATGAAAAAAGGGATGAAGAAAAAATATCAAGTTATCATTTGAAAGTGTAAAGACTGCAGCTCTTGAAAATTGTTTTACGACCATAGACAATTGTACGTTGTCTTAATGATGGGATAACAGAATGTATTGCAATGTAAGTTTACTGGTCTTATGTCTGATATGAGATTTCATTTTGGAATAAGCATTATAGCTTCCGTTTAAAAATATGTAAATGACCCCAGATGCTTTGATTAACGTGTGATATGTAGAAAACCATTTAACATAACGCTCAAACACACGGTGTACTTTCTGACTAACAAACTTCGTTTCATCACACAAGTATCAGTATTATTTGTCAGAGGAAGAATCCAGATCGGAAGTAGCGTCATCAAACAAGATGATGGCTGGGGCGACGAGGCTGGTACCAACTTCATCACGTTGGCGGTACTGATTTTCAATGTCAAGGACATGATCTTCAGGCTTTTGCCAAACTTCAGGAGTAATTTTTACAAAAGGAGCCTGTATGAGGGTTTTGACATCTCTCGGCTTGAGGGTTGTGTTATTCGAGCTGTAAACCTTTTGCAGTTGGTCCAGATGAGTTATGTCAGATTCAGCTCACATTTTCTGGCGTAAGACGGCGTGGCCATGATGCTGTACCAGCTTGTCTACCCTGTATTCGGGGACATGGGTGGCCCCACGTCTAAGGCGCCGCGATTCGCTGTGCAGAGTTGTGTCCCTTGGGCACGCCAGAAACCTAGGATTGTAGGTTCGAATCCCGGTTCGCCCAAATTATGTTTCTAGGTTTGTCAGCACCATACCCGTGCTCGTGGGTTTCACCGAAGTGGTAAACGTCTGAGACCTGCATCACTTCGGACTTTCCTCCCACAATAAGCTGACATGCCGTGATATAACTGGAATATTGTTTAAAGCGGCGTTAAACCCAACTCACTCACTCACTCACTACTCTGTATTGAATGGGCGTTTTGTTCAGTCGGATCTGTTCCATAGGCTGTATCTTGGTGTGAGATGGTTTGTATGCGACACTGCAAGAAGGGAAATAACTTTGCATCCCTGCTTTCACAGTGCTCATGGTTGGCGTGCCTGTGCCCGGTTAACGCACGTTGTGATAACTGGCGTTATCAAGGACAATAACACTGGGGTTATTCAGATTAGAGAGAAGCTGGTGTTCCATCCACTAAAAGAACACCTCCCCATTCATTTCCTAATGATAACCGCCGCTAGCCATTCGATAACCCGTCATTGAGTGAGTGAGTGAGTTGGGTTTAACACCGCCGCTTTTAACAGTATTCCAGTTATATCACGGCGTGTCCGCTTTATTTGGGAGGAAGGCCTGATGTGATGCAGGTCTCTGACGTTTACCACTTCGGTGAAACCCACGAGCACGGGTATGGTGCTGACAAACCTAGGAACATAATCGGGGCGAACCGGGATTCGACCCCACAATCATAGGTCTCTGGCGTGCCCAAGGGACGCAACTCTGCACAGCAAATCGCGGCGCCTTAGACGACTGGGCCACATTTAGAAATTCATAAATTCTTATCCTTACTTAATTACATTTAGAGATGTATCGTCAGCAAATAAAGTAATGTTTTCAAAATATCTTTGAAAGAGACAGTGGAATATTTCTAACACTAAAGAAGACTATAAACAGAAACCCTGTCATATCCACACCACGTTTTCAGAAAGTAACTTTGGTAGTTTTGCTACTCATTAACACTAGGTCAGTTAAATCACAGTGTGTCAGAGTAATGAGAACGGAAAGACTGCTGGGATCACAGAACTAGTAGATAGAACTACCAATATAGTAGTCCACTACTGCAAGGCCACGTGTCGACACTAATGTAATGTCATTGACCATGCGAGCTTCAACCGTGAAGATCCGGGGTAGAATAGGTCTTCAGCAACCCTTGCTTGCCGTAAAAGGCGATTATGCTTGTCGTGAGACGCGACTAACGGGATCGGATGGTCAGGCTCGCTGACTTGGTTGCAGCAGTATATCATTTATATCACAGTGTCAGGAAAGCCTGCATGGATCCCATAATAAAAAAAATATCCTGAATATTTATAAATGTGAGTGAGTGAGTGAGTGAGTGAGTGAGTGTTTAAGCAAAGTTCCAGCAATATCACGGCGGGGAAAACCAGAAATGGCTTGTACCCATGTCGGGCATCTAACCCGGGTCTTAACCACTTAACTAAGACCGCCTCCGTGGCCTAGTGGTGGAGCGTCCGCCCGGAGAGCGGAAGGTCCGGGGTTTGATCCCCGACCGCGTCATACCAAAAGACGTTAAAAGATGGTACTTGTTGTTACCCTGTCTGGCGCTCGGCATTAAGGGGCTAAAACAAGGACTGGTCGGATCGGAGTCAGTATATTGTGTCTGAGTGGGGTATCCGTGTTAAACTGCGGCATGATATCTCAGTGAGCTAAAACAGGGACTGGTCGGATCGGAGTCAGTACACTGTGTCTGAGTGGGGTATCCATGTTAAACTGCGGCATGGTATCTCAGTGAGCTAAAACAGGGACTGGTCGGATCGGAGTCAGTACACTGTGTCTGAGTGGGGTATCCATGTTAAACTGCGGCATGATATCTCAGTGAGCTAGCACTATAAATCGGCATCAGTCCAGACTAGTACAAGCAGACACACACACACACACACACACACACACACACACACGTACATGCACGTCGCTTTATAAGTGCAATAATCTTGGACGCGACGTTAAACACCATTTCACCTCACCACCTAACCACTTAACTACCCGACGGCCCCCATAAATATGAAGGTCTGTAGTGAGGCAATATTGACCAGAAGTTCTGAAATGTTTTTTATTTCATCCTTATACATTTCTAATGACAAGATACACGATCAAATTATTTACAAGCATTTTATAAATTCTGCTCCCACAAAAATAAAATACCTGTTCATAAAAGTATCATGTCCATAGCACGTATTTATAGATACATTATACATACACGGTTAAATATATTAAATGCATAAAAGTATATTTTAACATTATGTCTATCTGTAGTATGCGAATTTGATAGTATATTATTGATGCTCTATTTAAATCAATCTTTCTCTCGTCCGTCAAAACCAGATTTGCGAAATACGTTTACCGGAAGGTGTGTACTTGTCATAAAAAACAAAACCCGTGCTGAAAACGTCTTAGAAAAGTCGGTGATCATCTGTGAATGAATTTAAAGGAAATTAGACTGGTCCCCCGTCGCTGTTGAGGCGAAGGGCAGGGTACCAGTCTATGCTAAAAATAGTAACAGCTTGCGATCGCAGTTGCACATGTCGCCCGGTAAAGCTTGCAGACATACACAGAGCGGAGTCTCGAATGTAAGTATCTGCGACAGATTATAAGATTACATCGCCAATGATTTCGAAGGTAAATCCTTTCATAACGTCTGCTTATGTAGTTTCGTCTCGTTTGTCAGTGATCGTTGCTTTTAAGCTATGTTTTACGCAATCCCCCATGTTTCTCGCCAAGCGACTAGCGTGGTTGTTTATGTAGGCTGCGCTTTGCGCTACACTGACTCGGGCAATGACTCCACGATCGATAGCGACCTCCACGAGACAAAAGAAACATGGCGGACACTTTATCGGCTGTTAATATTAGAAAGGCGCTTGGACTGATCAGAGACCATATAATAGATATTATATTATATCTATTATATGGTCTCTGGACTGATGTTTAGAAAATGTTCTTGGCCTTTATAACAATATTATTATAATGTATCCATCACGAGAATAACGCCCGTTGTTGCTTTTGGTGAACGAAATCATTCCCTAAAGGGGCATTCACACGGTACAACTAGTTGTATACAATTTGTTGTATGCAACTAGTCGCACGAACTGAAGATGTATACAACACAGCATTCACACGGCGGCGCGTAGACTAAAATCTAGTCTCTGAAATGAACAAATCGTACATAAAAAAACAGTTGTTTAGTTATCTTAATAAAAATATAATAAAAAGGAGCCCAGTGACTCTCTTCATCCTGATACTGCAGTGATCTAGACTTGCCAAACATTATAGACTTGCATGGGCTGTATTTGATATATATTTGTATCAGGGTCTGTAAGACAGACTAGGCGGCGCGTTTCATACAGCTCGGGTCCCGCGAGATCTCAGACCAAAGGTTTGTGATTCACTACGTTATCGCTGCAATCCTGGTTGCCGAGTTAATGTTCAGACGCAGTGTTTTGAAAAATGAACGCTGTGCGAGAATTGCGGTTGCGCGGTACTAGGTCAGTAGTATAGTGTCATCACGGACTTGTATGTTATATAGGTCCGTGGTGTCACCAGGCAGGAGCTGGTTTTGGTGGAGGGAAAAGTGGAGGGAGCCTGAAAGGGTCCCCCAGCCTATCGGAGCGAGCGCAAGGGACAGCGCGTCACAGGTGTGGGGGAATGACAGGTGTGTGTGTTTATAAGGCAGAAAAGAATTCGTAAGTAAACAAAAGTAAAGGGTATTCAATAGAGCTATGTGTATGGCGTGCTGCCCTGAATAGACAAGCAGCCCAGCGTGCGACCTGGTTTGATGAATGCAGGGTGTGTGTTGAAAGTACGACCATACCGCAATAGAGACGGGTTGTGTCAACATGATATACCATGTATACGCCGGGTAATGTAAGAAAAAAAAATGTACGTCTAGCTGGATCAAATTCATCTTATACGGTCTACACGTTGTACACCACGAACGTTAGACAACCTGTATAGAAAAAAATAATATAGACAAAATAGATAAGACTACACAATCAGCAAGCTAGCAGTTTACATTTAGCGCGCAAGAACGAGCTAATGTATAGCAGAGAGACTAAGCGTATTTATGATACGTTAGGGAACATGTGTTGTACATTTGTTATTTTAAAAGGGAGTTATTTCAGAGAGGATATATATGGGTATTCCCCCTCATTAAACCTTTCTTTCGTTGGTGTCTATTAAACGTATCCGGTATTTAATACATTTGAATGATGTAGGAAAGTATGTGCGTGAAGATGTTGTACCTATATCCGAACACGAATGTATGACACCTTTCAATAGATCAATTACGGTTCTAACCACGACACGCAACATGACTATGAGCGTGGTTAGCAGTTCATATTTATAAACACATCGTAAATGACAGATTTCTGATGAATGAACTCGCCCGCACACATGTCTATAGGGTTATGTTCGCCCGAACTGTAAACAGTGACACATTGATAACAGGAAGGGTGTGTGGAATGCACTCGTCCTTGTAAGGGTAAAATACGCGTTTAAACTCACCATTTAAATGATGACATTACTTTTTAGATGTATTGGTATCAGTGAGTGAGTGAATTTAGTTTTACGCCACATTAGGCATTATTCCAGTTCTAGGACGGTGGTCTGTCAATAAACGAGCTTGGACCAGACAATCCAGTGATCAACCGCATGAGCAGCGATCTGTGCAACTAGGAACAGTTTCCGCTGTGACGTAATAACACGAGGGAGAGGTCTACATGTACAAAGACAAAAAGGGGCATAACTCCGCAATGCTTAACTGTAAGCCATTGTAACTCAGTATCCGTCATGTCCGTGGTGAGCATTTAATCTTGAATTATAATTTCAATATCTCTTCAATATCTTTTCACCCAGTAAAATAATGCACTGCTGCAAAATGGGTACATGTATGTAGTACTGTTACTAATATTATCTAAAATGACATAGAATTTATGAAACTCTAAATATAGATCAGCTATTTGTTTGAACATAGAAATTGACATTCATCGTGTTATTCTTCCTATAAGATGCTATGTGGGGGCACGGGTGGCCCACTCGTCTAAGGCACCGCGATTCGAATTCGCTGTGCAGAGTTGTGTCCCTTCGGCACGCCAGGAACCTCTGATTATGGGTTTGAATCCTGGTTTGCCCCAATTATGTTTCTAGGTTTGTGAGCACCATACCCATTCTCGTGGGCTTCACCGAAGTGGTAAACGTCTGAGACCTTCATCACTTCGGGCTTTCCTCCCACATTAAGCTGACACGCCGTGATATAACTGGAATACTGTTAAAAGCGGCGTTAAACCCAACTCACTCACTCACTATAAGATGCTATGTGAATGTAACACACTGCAGCATATAAATATTTCCTTTGGGGAATTGTGAAATATTCATTCTGTCAAATTTTTATGGATAGGTTAAATAACAAAAGGCACTTAATTTCTTAATTTGATAGTAGATGTATACCTAAAGGAAATTCGTCACGTTATGTATTTTTAACTATTTGTTTTACGTTTGGATTTTATCGTTTAACTGGTGGAACATTGACAGCTAAAGATCAGGGGCGCGTTTCAAAATAGGGCCGACCATTCGAGATTCATGGTAGGAGGCGGGCCATGGTCTGTTGGGGTTCGGGTGTCCGTTGGTGGGTGAGGTGTGGGGTTGCAGAGCTGTGGTAGTGATAAATCTGTTCTTTTAATGGAAATGTTCTATGCTAGTAATTAATATTAGTGGTTATATACTGTTACCTTTTTGTGGTACCGATTTCAAGGTTACTTGTAAATTGGGATAAAACCTAAAAGTATTTGGTTTCAACAGGCCACAGGGCATTTCTAGAGGTATTTCTTCTATATTATCTCAAAATCTGAAATGTCTTCTGGACATTTTGGATCACAATCTTTCAATCTCCCAGAAAAGGAACCGATGTGGAAGTTAATCAGAATCAATCTGAAATCAACAAGTTCTATTTGTTTTTATGTTTCCATTTTAGCCCTGATACAGCGTGGAAAGGCAGACTAATACCGTAGTCAGTGTGCGTGATTTTGCGTCAATCATGGTATCACGTGGAACGATTTCTGTTGATTTTTCCAAATACGTAGATCTAAGTAATAATTCCTCATTTCTTACAACGGTTGTCGACCCATGCATATTCGTAATAATCTTAGCTAATGTATGCAACAAATTGACGACTGAATTTAGAAAATATGAATATCTCTGTTTACATTTTCCAACGAGAAGGCCCACTGGTAGGCTTCAGAGCAATATTTTTGTTGTACAATACAGATTTTGTTTTTTGTACATATGCTTTGCCTAAAATACTTGTTAATGGCATCACATAATAAATACTTTCCCACAGAATCTAAAACTGTGATGTGTATTTGTGTGTATGATGTATGTTATTCTACGTTCCTACTTTTCATAGGTTCTTTATTGAGTGGTGACACTTAAGATACCGAAAAGCAGAAGTTACCGACGTGAATCGGAGTCGTTATTTTTGTTTACAAATTGACGTGTAAATATCACGTGATTTTCATACGCGTTTTGATTGGCTGCCTTCATACAACTTGTCGCATGCCCCTTAAGTTGTTTCAAGACACAAAAGTCATCGTCACATGGGTGAAATGTAAACAATGACACACACCCCATTTTCAACAGAGATATTTCATGTCAACTCGCTATTGTCACGAAATCGTATGCATAATAGTTATAGGTAAACTATCACATTAAAGAAATATCGTTAGCATATATATTTTAGCAAATATGATCACGTAATATCTGACGTTTATGCTCATAGTCTCTCTCACCCATTGTTAAATACAGGGTTTGATGGATATATACCCGACGATCAGTATAATATCCAGAATAATACCACTTTTGAATCGTCATAATAATGACATGATATGGTCTCTCTCAATGCTTCTGATATCTTATTTACGAAAGCCTATTGGGGTCAAAATTGAAATATGGAAAAGACACGAAAATAAATTCGTTATAACGGAAAAAGATTCGTTATTAGGAAAATAAATTCGTTATAATGAAAAGAGGTTTCGTTATTACGAAAACAATTTCGTTTTAACGGACAAAAGATTCGGTATTACGAAAAATGATTCGTTATGACGGAAAAAAAATTCGTTTTTACGGAAATAATTTCGTTATTACGGAATACGGAAAAAAGATTCGTTATTACGAAAAAAAATCGTTAAAACGAATGATGACGTGAGGATGCAATAGCCATTGCCCTTTAAAAATATAACATTGGTCATGGTACGACAAATTAATCAACTGAAGACACTTCAGTTTGAGGTTGTACAAAAATTATTTCAAATCCCACCATTGACGTTACATACTGGATATGAATAATCACTGTGTTATAATCGTAAATGCAAGATTATTTATTATATTTATATCTATGACATATACCATTTGTACATAACATTCCAACACACCATTGCCCTTTCAAAATATAACAATGGTACAAATGGAACAGAATTAAATCAATTAAAAGACTCTTCAGTCTGAGTTTATAGAAAAGACTATTTCAGATCACACATTGGCATGTTACCCTAAGTACTGGACATGGAAAATCACTGTGCTGAGATATTATCAGTGTGTAAATACCAGTATGCAAATAACATCTACAGTATCAGGTATTTTATCATGACACAAATCGTCATGAAAAAGTGTATTTGATCTCAGCCCTAGTTGTTATTGCTGGTGTATTTTGGAACGATTTGTTGAATATAGTTTCGAGCAATGGTGCGGGCTTCCTATCTTAAATATATCAGGTGATTCCTCTTTGCGTTCATGGCTGTCCATTCACAATATCTCACGTTGGCTATACAGAGCACTAAAACGATGAGGGGGCACGGGTGGCCCAGTCGTCTAAGGCGCCGTGATTCGCTGTGCAGAGTCGCGTCCCTTGGGCACGCCAGAAACCTATGATTGTGGGTTCGAATCCCGGTTCGCCCCGATTATGTTTCTAGGTTTGTTAACACCATACCCGTGCTCTTGGGTTTCACGGAAGTGGTAAACGTCTGAGACCTGCATCACTTCGGGCTTTCCTCCCACATTAAGCTGACACGCCCTGATATAACTGGAATGCTGTTAAAAGCGGCGTTAAACCCAACTCACTCACTCACTAAAACGATGAAACGCTTCTTTCAGTGTCTTTGCTAAACAAGTTTGAAGTTTTGTAAAGTATCATTGTCTCACCACGAAATAACGTTTTCAAAACATGTCAGGTCACTGTTTGGTGTTTGTCGGTATTGGGATTTGTGAATGCATTTCAAAATCGATTTGCATGTGTAAATACTAAAGAGTGCCTAGTCTGGCAGGTTTTGGAAGATCTGTAGAGGTACAATCAGTTAAAGGATGTTATACATGAATTATTTTTTCTCTGTAGTCAAAGTTATGTGGCTACAATTAGGCATGGCTACCCACAAACCTGTTCTTCATACATACACAAAATGTTGTCGAAATAGGACCAGTAGTAGTTCGGGAGAAGAAAGTTCCCTCTTTAACTGGCTGTAGATACCAGTGTTACGGATTCGCCAGGACCTAGGCTATCAGTCGCACACATGCCATTTCACATAAGATCTCTTGTCTTTTATGCAGGGAGACTTAATAACCCCAACGATTACAATAGGCTCTTGCCTTCAGACAGGGAGCCCCAATAAAAGTCCCTTATTTTCGCGATTTTAGCTGTTTTGACCCCTGGATCGGGTAGCAGGACTTACAACATTTTGAAAAGCAAGTGCAAGGACACCATGGTCACGTGGTCAAGGTCATTTAGGTTGGCCGTTAAACGAAAATGTACTTGTTTGTGCGAGCTCAGGCGCGACTATAGTTGCCTGTATGTCGGAAGCGGTTAGTGTTTATGCTTTACCCCATATCTTTGAAATTTGGCGAAAATAATGTCCGCCGTCCGTCCACGGGTCTGTCCACCAAAAAGTTGTTTTGACATTCACTCCTTAATCGTTCAATGTACAACACTGTAAGTTGGCAGAAACCTTCCCATGGTCTCTATCTACTAATGCTGTGAAAACCAACTCACTCCGGTACATGTTTTGTATCCATGGCAACCTGAAGAAAAACATCTTAAATCCAAAATGGCGACAAAACGGTTATATTTAGCACTTCTTTTGACCCCGATCGAAAAAATTATCAGTAAGCTATACCGGTGCCACATGCAAAATCTGGAAGCAATTAGGTCAATAGTGACTTGAGATATATGATGTTTTATGCCGGTTTTATCAATTATTGCATTCTGGCAGTCTTCAATCTAATATGGCTGCCAAACGACACAACTTTTGACAAGCAGCTAAGAACATGAAATTTGATGCTTATACGTCATGCAATGCTTTCTATGAAGAACTTGAGCAGATACGTCGTTTGCAAAGAAAGTACTAAAATCCAATATGTCCACCAAACAAATCACATTTTGACTTGCATCTAAGAGCAAATATTTTTTAACATACAAAGTCTTTTGATTAATGCTAATTTGCAATCATTTTCTTCGAAAACATAATTAACATTCGTCTTTTCTTTAAAACTTTTATGTAAAACTCTACATCAGAAACAAACTCCAATATGTCCGTAACTAATCAATTCATCTCAAAACACTTAGTACATTTTGATGTTTTAACTATGGCGACAATATCTGCACATTTTCAAAGTCCTGCACCTGATACAGGCAGAGAAAACTATTGCCGTAGACGCGTACCCAACAAAAATCACAAATCCGCTATGAACATTTTCAATCCAATATGGCCGCCAAACCGCGTGACTTTTGACATGCTGCAACTGCTTTGCATAATAAGATTCCATGTAAAACTCTCATTACGAAGTTATGCAAAAATGTTTTTAACTTCGGTGGGAAGTAGCATTCAATATGGCGGGTATCAGTAGACATATCTTAGCCTACTAATATACCGTTCGTATTGTGATGCATAGAGACAAGTATGCCAAGCCAAGGTTTGGTGCCTTTGGTCTGGTAGTTTAAAAAAAGTAGATTTTGGCAGCTAAGTAGTGAGAAAAGTGCTAAAATGCATGTCGAAAACCGTCAATCCAATTTATCTGCCAAACGGTGCGTTGTAGCTACCATGGTCCTGCAGTACAAAATGATGGGCATCTGATTGCGCTGCCGCATGGCAAATCTGGAAGTCACCGGACAATAAGTTTCGAAGATTATTTCTGCTGAGGTTGACACTTTGATGAGTTGTCTGCCCTACGCCATTGTGCCTATGGCGTTGGGATTTTTGTGGTACCCGCTTCACATTGGTGCCGATGTTGCTGTAAGGGTGCCGATTTTGGAGAGATTCTGGCCAATGGCTGTTGAGTTATGATTGGTACAAAACAACAACTGCGTAATAAAAAAAATATACCCCTAACGATTACAATAAGGCTCTTGCCTTTCAGACAGGAGCCCTAAAAATGCATTATTCTGATACAGGAAAGTGACAACTTCTTTATGTTTTCAGTAAACACCATAACAAACACGAGCATATAATGGAAATACAAAGCCAACCAGAGAATCCTGGCTCGCTTACTGAAACATGTGTTATCACGGACAGTGTTAGAGTGTTGCTTGATCTCAAGAAATACTCTGTTACTGACACGCAGGAAACAGGTGATCTCCAGAAACAATCTACTGTTGACACGCAGGAAACAGGTGATCTCCAGAAACAATCTACTGTTGACACGCTGGAAACAGGTGATCTCCAAAAACACACATATTCTGGGGGTCAAGCAAACCTGTCTCCTATGTGTAGTGAGAGCGGGAAAACATTTAAGAGATCACGTGACATTGTGACTTATGAATGTGTTATATGTGGGCAGACGTTCGCGAAATCAGGTTCTATAAGGTCACACATGAAGATTCACATTGGAGTCAAGTCTTATCAGTGCATCGTGTGTGAGAAACTATTCAAGTGTCCAAGTGCTCTGCAGATACACATGAGGATTCACAGTGGAATCAAGCCTTATCAGTGTGTTGAATGTGGGAAAACATTTTCAACCTCAAGTAGCCTGAAAACACACATGAGGATTCACAGTGGAATAAAGCCTTATCATTGTGTTGAATGTGGGAAAACATTTAGACAATTATCTAATCTGCAGGCACACATGAAGATTCACAGTGGAATCAGGCCTTATCAGTGCAGCGTGTGTGAGAAAACATTTAAACATTCATATACTCTGCAGACACACTCTTGGATTCACAGTGAAACCAAACCCTATCATTGTGATGAATGTGGGAAAACATATGTACTAGCAAGAAGTCTGCGGACACACAAGATGATTCACAGTGGAATCATGCCTTATCAGTGCAGTGAATGTGGGAAAGGATTCAGAGAGTCATGTAACCTGAAGATACACATGAGGATTCACACTGGAATCGAGCCATATCAGTGCATCGTGTGTGAGAAAACATTTAAACATTCACATAGTCTGCGGAACCACATGAGAATTCATTGTGGAATCAAACCTTATAACTGCGTGGAATGTGGGAAAACATTTACAGAATCAGGTACTCTACGGTCACACATGAAGATCCACAGTGAAATCAAACCATATCAGTGTGTTGAATGTGGAAAAGGATTTAGACGGCCAAGTAGCCTTAAGAAACATATGAGGATTCATTGTGGAATAAAACCTTATCAGTGTGTTGAATGTGGGGAAAAATTAGGAGACTCGAGTAACCTGAAGAGACACATGAAGACTCACAGTAGAAAGAAGGCTTATCAGTGTGTTGAATGTGGGAAAACATTTACTGTATCGAGGAAACTGAATATCCACATGAGGATTCACGGCGGAAACAAGCTTCATCAGTGCATTGTGTGCCAGAAAACATTCACAATATCAGGTACTCTGAAGACACACATGAGGATTCACACTGGAATAAAGCCTTATCAATGCGTTGAATGTGGGAAATCATTTGCGCGATCAGATAGTCTTCTGACGCACAAACGGATTCACAGTGGAGTCAAGCCTTATCAGTGTGTTGAATGTGGTAAAGCATTCAGAGACTCTAGTTGCCTGCGGGCACATATGAGGATTCACAGTGGAATAAAGCCGTATCAGTGTTCTGAATGTGAAAAAACATTTACTCATTCAGGTAATTTACAGCAACACATGACGATTCACAGTAGAGTCAAGCCTTATCAGTGCAGTGAATGTGGGAAAGGATTTAGTTTGTCACGTTACCTGAAGTCACACATGAGGATCCACAGTGGAATCAAGCCTTGTCAGTGAGTTGAATGTCGGAAGCCATTTGCAAACTCGTGTACTCTGAAGTCACACATGAGGATCCGCAGTGGAATCAAGCCTTGTCAGTAAGTTGAATGTCGGAAGCCATTTGCAAACTCGTGTACTCTGCAGGCACACGTGAGGATTCACCGTGGAATCAAGCCTTGTCAGTAAGTTGAATGTCGGAAGCCATTTGCAAACTCGGGTACTCTGAAGTCACACATGAGGATCCACATTGGAATCAAGCCTTGTCAGTGAGTTGAATGTTGGAAGCCATTTGCACACTCGTGATCTCTGCAGTCACACGTGAGGATCCACATTGGAATCAAGCCTTGTCAGTGAGTTGAATGTCGGAAGCCATTTGCACACTCGTGTTCTCTGCAGTCACACATGAGGATCCACAGTGGAATCAAGCCTTGTCAGTAAGTTGAATGTCGGAAGCCATTTGCACACTCGTGTACTCTGAAGTCACACATGAGGATTCACAGTGGAATCAAGCCTTGTCAGTGAGTTGAATGTCGGAAGCCATTTGCACACTCGTGTACTCTGAAGTCACACATGAGGATTCACATTGGAATCAAGCCTTGTCAGCGAGTTGAATGTCGGAAGCCATTTGCACACTCGTGTACTCTGCAGGCACACATGAGGATCCACAGTGGAATCAAGCCTTGTCAGTAAGTTGAATGTCGGAAGCTATTTGCACATTCCTGTACTCTGAAGTCACACATGAGGATCCACAGTGGAATCAAGCCTTGTCAGCGAGTTGAATGTCGGAAGCCATTTGCACACTCGTGTTCTCTGCAGTCACACATGAGGATTCACAGTGGAATCAAGCCTTGTCAGCGAGTTGAATGTCGGAAGCCATTTGCACACTCGTGTTCTCTGTAGTCACACGTGAGGATCCACATTGGAATCAGACTCCTGTGGAAACAGATGAGGAGTATCAGTGGAATCAAGCCTTGTCAGTGAGTTGAATGTCGGAAGCCACTTGCACACTCGTGTTCTCTGTAGTCACGTGAGAATACACAGTGGAATCAGACTCCTGTGGAAACAGATGAGGATTATCAGTGGAATCAAGCCTTGTCAGTGTGTTGAATGTGGGTAAACATTTTCAGAATCACGTAATCAGCAACTACACATGAGGACTCACAGTTGAATGAAAACGTATCAGTGCATTGTCTGTCAGAAAACATTTATGCTATCAGATAATCTAAGGACACACATAATGAGTCATAGTGGAATCAAAAAAGTATATGTGTGTTGAATGTGGGAAAGGATTTACATGGTCATATGCCCTGCAGAAACACATGGCGATTCACACTTGATTGAATCTTTACATTGAATGCTACACTGTAGCAAGTTGGCGTTCCCTGTTGCGTATTTTGATAAATGTTAAAAAAACAAAAGTTGTACATTACCTCCCCTGTTCTGTTGTATTTACAAATTGTTAAAAAAGATGATTCATATACTACGTCAAACAAGTATAGGACGTATGTATTTCAGACCGCCTCCGTGGTCTAGTGGCAGAGCGTCCGCCCGGAGAGCGGAAGGTCCGGGGTTCGATCACCAGCCGCGTCATACCAAAAGACGTTAAAAGATGGTACTTGTTGTTACCCTGTCTGGCGCTCGGCATTAAGGGGCTAAAACAAGGACTGGTCGGCTCGGTGTCAGTATACTGTGTCTGAGTGGGGTATTCATGTTAAACTGCGACATGGTATCTCAGTGTGCTAGCACTTTAAATCGGCATCAGACACACACACAAATACACATGCATGTACGTCGCTATATAAGTGCAATAATCTTGGACGCGACGTTAAACCCCATTTCATCTCACCTCACCTATTTACACATGGCCATAAACATATTGATGATACACAGGCCTGTAGGTATATAGGTATTTTGATGCATGAAAATCTAGATTGGGAGGATTTAGGGGGACATATGTACCAGTATTAGGGGTTGGGGTTGGGGGTGGGGGTGGGGAGGTATGTATGGTTCTCCGTTGTTGCAGTGTCAGCGTTACGTCTTGTAGTCGTCTAGCAAGCTCTGCTGTTGTACCTTTGTGTCTTCTGGACACTGCTTCAGCGACTGACAGGGTGGCTGTCTCAACTGACGTCACAGTGAAAATATCCTTCCTGTGGTGAAGGACAGGCATGTAAAACCTCCTGGGTGGTGGTGACAGGAGGTCAGCCAATCCTAGGCCTGTCTCTCTTGCACCCGGTCTGAATCAGGCCGTGCGCCTGGTGACTGTCATTCGTCTACAGCCAGAACTCGTGCAACATAATGCGTTGCTACTTGATGTATTATACCAATAGTTAGTTCTTTCTGTAGGGTTCATCTTAGCATGCAGCTGTCGTGTTTTCTATACTCATATTTGTGTAGGTTGCATTATCGCATCGGGCACCGAAAATTAGGCTTTTATATAGCGATATATAGATACATTGGACTAGAACAAATAATTAATTACATAGAGATGATTAACAAACAATTGTCAGTATTACCAGCCACTGATTGTATTGTTTGCAGGGGCGGTCGGGTAGCTTAGTGGTTAAAGCGTTCGCTCGTCACGCCGAAGACCGGGTTCGATTCCCGATATGGGTACAAAGTGTGAAGCCAATTTCTGGTGTCCCCCGCCGTGATATATTGCTGGAATATTGCTAAAAGCGGCGTAAAATCATACTCACTCACTGTATTGTTTGCATTGTCCAAAGAATTATTTTTGCCCGTCTACAGGTTGGATTCAAGAATAACCATTACATTGATTATGGAGCTTGTACATTATGCAGACAAATGTTATACATGTACTCTGTTATGTTTCCTTCAAACAATACACATCCATTAGATATATGTATTTACGTTAAACCACATCTCCCTTGGGCATGCCAGAAACCTATGATTGTGGGTTCGAATCCCGGTTCGCCTCAATTATGTTTCTAGTTTTGTCAGCACCTTACCCGTGCTCGTGGGTTTCGCCAAAGTGGTAAACGTCTAAAACCTGCATCACTTCGGGCTTTCCTCCCACATTAAGCTGACACGCCGCGATATGACTGGAATAATGTTAAAAGCGGCGTTAAACCCAACTCACTCACTCACTCACTAAACCACATCTACGACTTTTGAGAGTGTCATTAACCCGTAACCTCATTCCTTGGACAACAGAAATGGAATGCGTTATATGTATCGATATGACTGGATGTATGACATAAGTAGATGTATGACTGACCCGTGAAGATCCGGGCTAGAAAAGGTCTTCAGCAACCCATGCTTGCCGTACAAAGGCGGCTATGCTTGTCGAAGGAGGCGACTAACGGGTTCGGGTGTTAAACAACAAACCAACAAAAGATGTATGACCAGACATCCGATCATAGTTCAGGCGCTTTGTTAAAACAAGATACCACGTCAAACAAGTATAGGATGTATTTCAGACCGCCTCCGTGGTCTAGTGGTAGAACGAGCGTCCACGCGGAGCGCGGAAGGTCCGGGATTCGACCCAAAAGACGTTTAAAGGTGGTACTTTTTGTTACCCTGTCTGACGCTCGGCATGAAGAGGCTAAAACAAGAACTGGTCGGCTCGGAGTCAGTATACTGTGTCTGAGTGGGGTATTCATGTTAAACTGCGACATGGTATCGCAGTATGGTATAAATCGGAATCAGTCCTGACTAGTACAAGTGGCCACACGCACACGTACATGCACGTCGCTATATGAGTGCAATAATCTTGGACGCGACGTTAAACCCAATTTCACCTCACCTCACACGTAACTTCATCACTTCGTTTTCTTCCCCGGGTAAATAGGTTTCTAACCCTGTATGACAAATGAGGATAAATATCGAAAGTTATCAGACACGTTCTCCAAACAACCGTACGTGTGTTCTACCACAACGCCAAGGTGTATGCCCTTAAGATGTATGGAATGCTTTCATTACGAGGACCCAAGTGTGAAAAGAATTTAGATGTACGGCGATGCCTTCTTTGCGAGGACCAGGATGTATAATTAGCGAAGACCCGACTGTGAATGCCTTTAATGTCCATCCTACATTACATAAATTTACCATATTGAAGTCATCATGTCATGTCTTTCATCATATATATTCCATGGCATGAATATTAGAAGCTCTTTAATGTCCATTATGAACCTGGCTATCTAAATTGCAATGGGCCGATGGTCTACAGGGCGAAATGAATAATGAACAAAGACTAAGGACCAATGCCCTTAAAGATATGTTGTGATGCCTTTATTGCGGGGACCTGGATGTATGATTAGTGAGGACCTGTGTGAATGCCCTTAAGATCTATTGCGATGCCTTCATTGCGGGGACCTGGATGTGTGATTAGTGAGGACCTGTGTGAATGCCCTTAAGATCTATTGTGGTGTCTTCATTGTGGGGACCTGGATGTATGATTAGTGAGGACCTGTGTGAATGCCCTTAAGATCTATTGCGATGCCTTCATTGCGGGGACCTGGATGTGTGATTAGTGAGGACCTGTGTGAATGCCCTTAAGATCTATTGCGATGCCTTCATTGCGGGGACCTGGATGTGTGATTAATGAGGACCTGTGTGAATGCCCTTAAGATCTATTGTGGTGTCTTCATTGCGGGGACCTGGATGTGTGATTAATGAGGACCTGTGTGAATGCCCTTAAGATCTATTGTGGTGTCTTCATTGCGGGGACCTGGATGTATGATTAGTGAGGACCTGTGTGAATGCCCATAAGATCTATTGCGATGCCTTCATTGTGAGAACCTGGATGTATGACTAGTGTGGACCCGTGTGAATGCCCTTAAGATCTATTGCGATGCCTTCATTGTGAGAACCCGGGTGTATGATTAGTGAAGATCCGTGTGAATGCCCTTAAGATCTATTGCGATGCCTTCATTGTGAGAACCTGGATGTATGATTAGTGTGGACCCGTGTGAATGCCCTTAAGATCTATTGCGATGCCTTCATTGTGAGAACCTGGGTGTATGATTAGTGTGGACCCGTGTGAATGCCTAACCTTTTCCCTGTGAACATGCATATATGTGCACATGCTTCACGTGATTTTCGAGAAAAGTGAATTTAATTACATAAAATGCAATATGTGCACAAAGTTACACGTATGAAATTCTGGTAAAAAACTTGAGCAGGATTGTACTCTCTCATCACATGAAACCGTTTAAAAAAACGAGCATGCCTCGACTAACCGCAGAGCAGAGGGAGAGAGCCATCGGTATGTTGCAAATGGGAGCGACGCAGGGGCACGTGGTCAGGATCATGGGCTGCTTCAAGTGCACAATCGCCAGACTTGTCACACGTCACAGCAAAAGTGGCAGTACTGTAGACAGGCCAAGTAGTGGAGTGGAAGACCCAAGGTCACGACCCCACAGGAAGACCGGTATTTACGGGTGCTTCACCTAATGTCTAGATTCCTAACTGTGACGTCATCTGCAAACAGCCTTGGACATCCAGTCATCAGAAGGAACGTTGCTAGACGGCTCCGCCTGTATGGTCTCTCAAAGGCATGGCGTTAACGTTTCTACGCCGACGACAGATGGGCCAGGACTGTACAGCAGTGGCAGCAGAGAAATTGGCGAAGTGTGCTCTACACCGACGAGAGTAAGTGCTAGCTCTTTAAGTCTGATGGGCAGGTTCGAATCTAACGACGACGTTTGGTTGGTTGGTTTCTTGTTTAACGCCGCACTCAGCAATATTCCATCTATGTGAGGGCGGTCTGTAAATAATCGAGTCTGGACCAGACAATCCAGTGATTAATATCATGAGTATCGATCCACGCAATTGGGATCGATGACATGCATCAACCAAGTCAGCGAGCCCAACCACCCGATCTCGTAAGTCGCCTTTAACGACAAGCATAGTCACCTTTTACGGCAAGCATGAGAATGCTTAGTTGGAGTCACATAAGTCACTGGCTTCCACTTCTCCATGTTACAACCGGCCCAAAACTACTGTACTGGAGTGAGTGAGTGAGTGAGTTTGGTTTAACGCCGCTTTTAACATTATTCCTGTTATATCGCGGCGTGTCAGCTTAATGTTGGAGGAAAGCCCGAAGTGATGCAGGTCTTCGGCGTTTCTCCGCTTCGGTGAAACCCACGAACACGGGTATGGTGCTGACAAACCTAGAAACATAATCGGGGGGAACCGGGATTCGAACCCACAATCATAGGTTTCTGGCGCGCCCAAGGGACGCAACTCTGCACAGCGAATCGCGGCGCCTTAGACGACTGGGCCACCTGTGCCCCTTACTGTACTGGAAATTATACCTAAAAATGATAGCGGGCCTAGAATTCATATTACTTTGGGAGAACTGGTACTTTCATGAACTCTGGATCAAGGCGCTGCTATCTGTGTTTTGAGTCTTGAAGTTTTCAATGACTCAGGTCTGGTGAAAGAAATCCCTGTTTAACAGTCAGCAGTGACTTCAAGGAATAAGTCAATATATAATACCTTTGGGAAATTATGAACATACATGTAACTTAATGTTTGTAGATAAATGCAGCACGCTCATGTGCGAGCTCTGCGTCAAATAATTACCGTAATACATCTACAAATACGTCCTTCATTGATGCTGCATAATTTCAAGCTAACATTGACATGGTGAATGTGTTTTTTGGGTTATTGTACCATTAAAGTTAAGAACAAGTTCAATTTGGATACTATTTATGTATAAATAAATAAATAATGTAATGTATGATTATTTGATATGTCTAAAGAATTAATTGAAGCGAAATGCTAATCATGAATGGGTATGTCATAAGAAACCAAGACGCTTATTATCTGTAATAATATAAGTTCTAATTATTTGTGTTGTTTGTATGATTAATTGAATTGAAATGTTTATTGAATGACACACTTCATCTGAATAAATCTTGGGACGTAAGCAACTAAGATGTTATCAGTTATCCTCAATTCATCTATTTTATTTTAAGGACAAATTACCGTGAGACTTCACGTTCTCAACAAGTTCATGCCACTGGGCGTCTTCTTGTAATACTATTCCTAAATAATTCCTACCTGATTTCTAAGAGTTCAGTTATATCGCCGCGTGTCAGCTTAATGTGGGAGGAAAGCCCGAAGTGATGCAGGTCTCAGGCGTTTACTACTTCGGTGAAACCCACGAGCACGGGCTGACAAACCTAGAAACATAATCGGGGGGAACAGGGATATCACAGAACACTGCACTTACTTTCTTACCATTATCTAAAACAGTAACTATCTCATTGTGTAAGTGCTTGAGTTAACATTGAGTGGATATAAATTCCGACTGTAATTTTGACAAAATATCATTATCTCTAAGAAAGAGGTTTTGCTTTTCTAACCATCAATATTACCTGATTTCTCAGAGTTCAGTTATATCACGGCGTGTCAGCTTAATGTGGGAGGAAAGCCCGAAGTGATGCAGGTCTCAGGCGTTTACCACTTCGGTCAAAACCCTCGAGCACGGGCTGACAAACCTAGAAACATAATTGGGGGGAACCGGGATTCGAACCCACAATCATAGGTTTCTGGCGCGCCCAAGGGACGCAACTCTGCACAGCAAATCGCGGCGCTTCAGACCTGGGCACCCCGCTTCTGTTGAAATGAAGAGCAGGATACCAGCCTATTCTAAAAATAGCTACACCAACGCCCCAGCGCCACCATCCATTGTAGCCCGCAATGCCGGTAGTGTGTACTCACTGACAAAGAATGAAATGAAGGTATTTGACACGTCTAAAATTTTCTATTTACTATAGAAATGAGCGGGACGGGTGGTTTGAAAATGTTGGCATTTTCATGTCGCAACGTATTCGTCACGCTCGTTGTTGATTGAGTGAAGAAAAACATTTTGTAAGCTGTAGGTCCTCGTCACATGGGCGAAATGTCAACAGTGACACACACACCCATTTTCAACAGCGATATGTGCGTTAATATTTCGTGTCACATAATACTTGAGACTGAACGACCACATTAATGAAATATCGTTAGCATCTTTATTGTAGCAATTTGATGAAGCACATTTCGACGATAATGCCTCATTTTTTTCCTCTGGACTTTATTCATATGAATATAAATGTAATTCAAATACTCTCTCCCCACATCCCCTGTTAAATTTGCTGTGGCATGAGCCTGTGTACACTGAATCTGATCTAATATAATTCTAAACGCCAAATTTCTCACCATACAAAATATAGCGTAACAGGACCACTTAAAATAAGTTGACAACGGTCGTTCGAATGTGTAAAGAGGAAAATAATGAAGTGTTGCCTCCGTTCATTATAGATGAATCTCTCTCTCTCTCTTTCTCTCTCTCTCTGGAAGAAATAATTCATATATTTTCATCATGGTAATATACAAATAGAAGTCGGGCTAATTGGGATAATACTAAAGTTGAATATATTCATTATTTGTAACTATTTTTTATTCACCTGCTGAAGGAGAAAGCATATAATCCGAAACGTTGTGTTCCTCAAAATAAGGAAGTTGACATCCATAAATTTATCTTCCTCATGTGTATCACTTCTAAATGTTTTTCAAAGACTTGATTGTTATAGCATGTACCATTTCTACATAACTTTCCAACACATCCATGTGTATTCTTTTTATCACAGGTTGACACAATAGCCATTGGCCTTTAAAAATACAACAGTGGTCATGAAACAGCAATTAATCAACTGAAGACACTTCCATTTGAGTTTATAGAAAGGACTATTTCAAATCACTATGTTGGCATGCTACCCTTTGTTTTAATAGGGGAAATACTGTGCTAAGATATTATCAGTGTGTTGAATGTGGACAAACATTTACTATGTTTCCAGTATCGGGAATTTTATCGTCATCAAATGGTGTATAGTCTCAGCTCTAATTGTTATAAGTTGTTATTTTCTATGGACAAATATTCAGGAAATGCCTTGACATGATAAAGGAAAGTGAGAACTCTATTATTCTTTCAGTGAACACCATAACATCCGCACGATGATAACGGAAGTGCAAAGCCAACCACAGATTCCTGGCTTTGTTACTGAAACACATGTAGTCATCGACTATGAGAGAGAATTGTTGGGGAAAGGTGGCCGCAAGAAACACTCTAAAACTGACATGCAGGAAACAGGTGATCTCAAGAAACACTCTGTTGCTGACATGCAGGAGACAGGTGATCTCAAGAAACTATCTGTTACTGACACGCAGGAGTCAGTAGATCTCAAGACACACTCTGTTGCCAACGCGCAGGAAACAGGTGATCTCAAGAAACACTCTGTCCCCGACACGCGTGAAACAGGTGATCTCAAGAAACACTCTGTTACTGACACGCATGAAACAGGTGATCGCAAGCAGCACAAGTATTGTGGTGTCCCAGCGAAGCAGTCTCAGTGCAGTGAGTGTGGAAAAACATTTACGAAATCACGTAACTTGAAAAGGCACATGCTTTGTCACAGTGAAGTCAAGCCTTATCAGTGTGTTGAATGTGGGAAAACATTTGTACAATCAGGTGACCTGAAGAAACACATGAGGATTCACAGTGGAATCAAACCTCATCAATGCATTGTGTGTGAGAAAACATTTACAGAATCGGGTACTCTGAAGACACACATGAGGATTCACAGTGGAATCAAGCCTTATAAGTGTAGTGTGTGTGAGAAAACATTTACATCATCAAGTAGTCTGCAGAAACACATGAGAACTCACAGTGGAGTCAAACCTTATCAGTGTGTTGAATGTGAGAAAAGATTTTCACACTTGGGTAACCTGCAGCGACACACGAGGACTCACAGTGGAATCAAGCCTTATCAGTGTGTTGAATGTGGCAAAGAGTTCACAAAGTCATGTAACATGCAGACACACATGAGGATTCACAGTGAAGTCAAGCCTTATCAGTGTGTCGAATGTGGGAAAACATTTACACGATCATGTGATCTACAGAAACACATGATGATTCACAGTGGCGTCAAGCCTTATCAGTGTGTCGAATGTGGGAAAGGATTTAGTGTATCTGGTATCCTGCGGACACACATGAGAATACACAGTGGAATCAAACCTCATCAGTGCATTGTGTGTGAGAAAACATTTACAGAATCGGGCACTCTGAAGACACACATGAGGATTCACAGTGGGATCAAGCCCTATCAGTGTGTTGAATGTGGGGAAACATTTACACAATCACGTAGCCTGAAGTCACACATGAGTGGTCACAGTGGAATCAAGCCTTATCAGTGCATCGTGTGTGAGAAAACATTTAAAGACTCATATTACTTGAAGTCACACATGAGGATTCACAGTGGACTCAAGCCTTATCAGTGCATCGTGTGTGAGAAAACATTTTCTCTCTCACGTAATCTGAAGACACACATGAGGATTCACACTGGAGTCACGCCGTATCAGTGTGTTGAATGTGGGAAAGGATTTGCACAGTCAGGTAGCCTGAAGAGACACATGATGATTCACAGTTAAATCCGTTAATTTCATTAGTGAATGACTGTAAATTACAACTGATATATGCTAAGCCAAGCGACGTGTTTTCGGTTAATCCTTTAATCCATGCATGGGCTTTTGACACCTGGAGGTCGGTGTATTCCATCTGCTCTGCATAACGACAGATGTCGCAGGGTCCAGATTTGGTTTCCTCCATATGTATACGTTTTATTATTATTTAAAAAAATATCTTCAAGGAGATGAGACAAGTGTATGCTAACCCCCAATTTTTCAACAACATGTTACTCTATCATTACTCAAAATTGTTGATTATGTACACATGAGAAAAGGTTGTGAAAGTAAATAATTCATTTCTATGTATCAGTATATTTATGTAAAATATGGGCCATTTTCGGCAATCATTTGGGGCCGTTGCCCTTCACTAATAGGACGACGATGTCAGTTGCAGAAACAATCACTAAAGTTGGACCAGACTTTCCGATACTCCGTTTTCGTGATTTTATTTTCATATTGACGTTTGCTTATTTCATTGTCAATTCAAGAGATTCACGCTTTACATTTGCCAGCTTTTTGTGAGAGAGACAATATGCAAACTATATGCAGGTTACACTCGGAAGTGAAGGCTTCTATACACTGCAATGGAGGAATGTGCATAATAAATAAGATCCATTTCTGGGTTTTGATTCTATAAACTGTTTTTGCTTTTCTTACCATCGATATTACCAGATTTCTAACTTTCTAAACTTGCGCCAATGACTTGGTATGTGACGACATTTAGCTACCTCATGCTGGCAGGTTCTCCTTCGCACAAAGGAGCGTATTGACTATTCATTCACGGTTCATCCTTGATCCTATAATTATATCATTGGTAGTGGTTGGTGTCGTCATAGACACAGACATAGTTTTTTCCACATATAACCACTCACAGTGGTACATGGACATAGATGCAAGAAAGTCATTTGATTAACAGAGGACTCTCGCATGAGAATGAGAATATACACTAAAAGTTAGGAAGTATACAGGAGACAAATCTGCTGAGGTTTCTGAACACTGAGACTTTAGGAGTAGAAAATAGTTGTTGAAGTTTGGGAGAACAGGTAGTTTCATCAATTGTGGATCCAGGCGCTGCTGTCAGTGTTTTGAGTCTTGAAGTTTGCAATGACACGGGTCTGGTGAAATAAATCCCTATTTAAAAGTCAGATGTGACATCTCTTCAAGGAATAAGTCAAAATATAATACCAGTTTTAGGACAAGTTTTACGTCCCATCACTATTGGTGATTTTCAAATGGACCAATTATGTTAATACCGCTCTAACAAAAAATAATAGAAGCAAAAGTATATTCATCAAGTAATATTGAGACATGTTGGTTATACTTATATATATATATTAAAACCGAATAAGCACGGGTGGTCAACAGTTAGGTGCAGTTGATGGAAAGGTGTTCAATTTCCAAGAAAAGAAAAGAAAGTCATTAACTATGTCATAGCGACTGATTTATGACTACCATTGTCTGCAGTACATTTGACTTCAAGGGCAATTTACCCTGTAGCCATGTCTCCATAACTTAATTGTCACTACGTTTTAGGCGCTAATCCCCGTTGTTAATCCTCACCAACATTTCATTGTATTTTGACTGTCAGTCAGCCTGGACTACCATATCACTTCCCTTTAACTACTGCTTTTTATAGTATGGCATTTATTGCCCTAATTGATCATCCCATGAACTGTGTTTGTTAATCACGCCCATATGTCCAAAGCAACGTCGTTGTCTCTTTGTCTGTCCATTGTTGTTCATTACTATATATATGCTACCATTACACAGTTACTGGGGTGTTAGTCAGGCTTGGTATTCCGAGTGCTGGCATAGGGACGACCTCGAGCAGGATATGCTGCTCGTAGGAAACGCCCTGAGGTGAGCTGGAGCTCCGCTCACCTCTTGTACGCCTGAGCTGGAAAGTCTGCTCATTGCTGTGTTTGTGTTGTCAGAGCAGGTATTCCGCTCATTGTGCAATTGTTGTTTATTGTTTACATGTTGTGCATAAAGCGTTCCGGGACAGTGATGTCGATTTTGTCCTTTATTCCCCCAAGAGCTAATTCCCCGTCAACATGCACGTTGACAACTATATAATACTTAGACCAAATGATAGAGCAACTAACCCACTCCCTGTCTTGCTACAGACAATCCAATTACTCAATCTCAACTTGACAAAATGGGAGACGGGCATGACAATCCCAGTGTCACAGAAATGATCCACACGCATGAACAAAATGCTACCTTTTATTCACAGGAGGATACGTTAGCACAGTAAATGCCAATGTCAATAGTCAATTTCTTTCCTATCCAATAACAAAACTGCAGGTTTCGTATTGGAGACGTCTAATATTGATTTGTGCATATGTATTATTTCAGGTTTGTCAATGGAGAAAATATTTCAAGGTTCTCTTGGAAAACTGCACTGTTGATGAGGAATCATTATTACATGATTGTAATGCACGGAGCTGGGCCCACATCAATCCACGCGATAGATAATTTGCTACAGTGTTACAAGGTTATTGGAAAATACAATCGCGCATATAGGTTGGGAATGTCTTCTAGGTCTTCTTGTCTTCTTGTTTTGAATACTATCCCATACTCGGATTATTTTCAGTTACTCACTCACTCACTCACTAGGTACCATCATGCATGGAAATCTTTCCTACAAAATATTGATGATAGCTCATCTTTGATTTCAAGTTAATATTTACGTTTATATACGTGTTTCTTTGGCCTTAATCCAGGAGACCTCTTCAACCAGCATGGGTCTTATTGTTATTAGGTAAAACTGCATCGCCACAAGCTTAGAAAATAATAGCAAAGTCAGGCTTCATATTGGTGGTTATTAGATACACATCCCATGTGCGACACACCTGTTGTTACACAGCCTAGGGATATATATACTGGAGTATATAGGATTACCACAGAGACCAAGGTATACATTGATTGTCATTCTGGAGCTTTAGCATGTTATTGTAAAATGTTATGATATGACGAAAAGAAAAGCAGAAATCAATAAAGCGACGATATTTACAGAATAATTACGGGATTGCTTCAGTGTTGTTGTCGCCATTTAATCAAGAGATCTTTAATTGGTTAGTAGGTTCCGGTAGTTTTCCGATCAAACGTGGTGTCTTTGTGTAACCTCCAACCCCAGAGGAGACTATTCGAAAGCTCTTAACGCAATATGACGATACAAATGAAATGCCCTATGTTACGTACCAGCTCAAAGGTTTTCTTAACCCAAAAGCTAGGCCAACAAATCCACTTCCACTTGTAGCTCCCGACAATAAAGTTACTTCGTCTGAACCTCACAGATCTGATACGGATATGGATATGACAACCCAGGCGTCACAGAAAGTAACCCCCACGCAGGCACAGAATCCCACCTTTGATTTACAAGAGTATGACGTTTTTCATAGTTAAAACGAATTCTTGCTAATAAAATATTCAATAGGGTGAAATACAAGATTCACAGGGGAAATGCCAATTTACAAAAGGTTACATAAGAACCGAATCTAATATCCCAAAGGGTTGATTCGTGACTACATGATACAGAAGTCATTAAAATAAATAGACGCGCAAGCGTTAGACACCTCAGTCTATTTTGACTACTGTTTCATGTTAATTGTTGTATTTCGTTTCCTTTTCAGTTACAACACTGCAGATGCAGTGTTGAAGCGGATCCCTCTAATATTGACTTTTGAATGTGTTTTATTTCAGGTTGATGATTACATGATGCTATATGCATGGAGGTAGCACATGCTGTGGATCATTTACCACGATGTCAGATGATTCAATTATCACAACGTCATAGGAAAGCACAGTCGTGCATATATGTTGATAATGTGTATTGTGGTCAACCCTGTTGTCATGTGTTGGTTGACATTGGAAAAAACAATTCATGTTCATGGGTCACTGACTAAACTCTTCTAATGATTATGTCATATTGTGTATACTACTTCTACGAGAAGGTTCTGGTCGCACAGTCCATAGGGAATGTTGTACATATATTTCAGGGGCCACTACAATGCATGTTCGCGTTGCGTGTATGTACAAGAAAACAAATGAATTACAGTCAGGCGTGTTCCTTGTTGGTTGGTTGGTTTGTTGTTTAACGCCGCACTCAGCAATATTCCAGCTATATGACGGCGATCTGTAAATAATCGAGTCTGGACCAGACAATCCAGTGATTAATATCATGAGCATCGATCCACGCAATTGGGATCGATGACATACATCAACGAAGTCAGGGAGCCTGACCACCTGATCTCGTTAGTTGCCTTTTACGACAAGCATAGTCACCTTTTACGGCAAGCATGAGTTGCTAAAGACCTATTCTACCCCGGATCTTTATGGGTCGCCTTGTTCCTTACGGGAATTACGAATATACATGTAACTTAATGTTTGTAGTTGAATGCAAAACGCTCGTATGCGAGCTCAGCACAAAATATTTTATGACCCTAATATTAGAGAACCACGAAACTGTATTTCTGCAAAACATCTACAAATACGTCCATCATTGATGTTGCACCATTTCAGTCTGACGTTGACATGGCGAATCCTATATGTTGTTTTGGTTATTTTACCACTTTTTAACAAGTTCTATTCTGATGCTATTTATGTTTGTATGTTGTTTAACGCCGCGTTCGGTAGTATTACAGCTTTATGACGGCGATCTGTAAATCATCGAGTCTGGACCAGAAAATCCAGTGATTGACATCATGAGCATCGATCCACGTGATTGGGATCGGTGACATGCTTCAATCAAGTCAGCGAGCCTGACCACCCGATCTCGTTAGTCGCCGCTTACGACAAGCATGATCGCCTTTTACCGCAAGCATAGGTTGCTGAAAACGTATTCTACCCGGGATCTTCAAGGGTCTACTATTTATATATAAGTATATAATGTAATGTATGATAATTTGATTTGATGTTTATAGGATTAATTGAAGCGAAATACTTCTTGGTTTATATTCTGCTAATCATGAATAGTTATGTCATAAGAAACCAAGACGTTTATGATCTGTAATGATATAAATTCTAATTATTAGAGTTGTTTATGTGATTAATTGAATTGAAATGTTTATTGTATGACACACTTTATCTGAAATAAATCTTGGAACGTATGCAACTCTGATGTTATCATTTATCCTCCATTAATCTATTTTATTTTAAGGACAAATTACCGTGAGACATCACGTTCTCAACAAGTTCATGCCACTGGGCGTCTTCTTGTAATACTACTCCTAAATAATTCCTACCTGATTTCTAAGAGTTCAGTTATATCGCCGCGTGTCAGCTTAATGTGGGAGGAAAGCCCGAAGTGATGCAGGTCTCAGGCGTTTACTACTTCGGTGAAACCCACGAGCACGGGCTGACAAACCTAGAAACATAATTGGGGCGAACCGGGATTCGAACCCACAATCATAGGTTTCTGGCATGCCCAAGGGACGCAACTCTGCACAGCAAATCGCGGCGCCTTAGACCACTGGGCATCCGGCTTCTGTTGAAATGAAGAGCAGGATACCAACTTATTCTAAAAATAGCTACACCGACGCCCCTACGCCACCATATAATGTACCCCGCAATGTCGGTAGTATATTCTCAAATGCCACACTCGAAAGAAAGTGACAAAGAAAGAAATGGAGGTATTTTACACACGTCTAAAATTTCAATTACCTCAATAAAACTTTTCCCTCATCCTTCAAAACGGGTTTTCTAAAATGCGTCAATCGGAAGGTGTGTACTTGTTATAACAGCACACACGGAAAATGCCAAATACGTGTACAGGTGTCATTAAAGATTTAACGTTACAGGATCAGTGAGCCACGCATTACAGGACAATGACTGGTCCCTTGCTTCTGTTTAGGCCAATGGCAAGGTAACAGTCTATTCTAAAAATAGCTACACAAGCGCCTCAATCAGAGACTATGGTTGCAATATGTATGTAGACCCGGATGGTCACACACAACGGTGACACGCAAATGAAAGTGACTGCAACAGATACAGGGTTACATCGCTAATAACTTCGAAGGTAGATCATTTGATAACGACTGCTTATAGAGTTGTGTCACGTTTGTTAATGACGGTAGTTATTGATCCATTTCACTGCACTGATAAGACTGTGGTTGTCCGGGAAGGCTGAGCTTCAGCCTGGTTCCCTGTGTATGCTGCGCTTGCGCTACTCTGACCCAGGCAATGACCCCACAATATGGCGGCCTCCTCAAGATAAAGAAACATGGCGAGCACTATCAGCTGTTTATGTACTTACTATAGAAATGAGCGGGACGGGTGGTTTGAAAATGTTGGCATTTTCATGCCGCAATGTATTCGTCACGCTCGTTGTTAATTTGAGTGAAGGAAAACATTTTGTGAGCTGTTTTGAGACACGAAAGGCCTCGTTACATGGGCGAAATGTAAACACTGACACACACCATATTTTTCAATTATTTCAACTATTCAAATATTGTCAACTGAAGACACTTCTATTTGAGTTTTTAGAAAGGACTATTTCAAATCACTATGTTGGCATGCTACCCTTTGTTTTGGAAATGGAAATACTGTGCTAAGATATTATCAGTGTGTTTAATGTGGAAAAACATTTATTTTATTGTCATCAAATGGTGTATAGTCTCAGCTCTAATTGTTATAAGTTGCTTTTATGGACAAATATTCAGGAAATGCCTTGACATGATAAAGGAAAGTGAGAGCTTTATTATTCTTTCAGTGAACACCATAACATCCACAGTAACGGAAATGCAAAGCCAACCACAGAATCCTGACTTTGTTACTGAAACACATGTAGTCATGGACCATGAGGGAGAATTGTTGGGGAAAGGGGACCGCAAGAAACACTCTGAAACTGACACGCAGGAGTCAGTAGATCTCAAGACACACTCTGTTGCCGACGCGCAGGAAACAGGTGATCTCAAGAAACTATCTGTTGCTGACATGCAGGAAACAGGTCATCTCAAGAAACTATCTGTTGCTGACATGCAGGAAACAGGTCATCTCAAGAAACTATCTGTTGCTGACATGCAGGAAACAGGTCATCTCAAGAAACTATCTGTTGCTGACATGCAGGAAACAGGTCATCTCAAGAAACTATCTGTTGCTGACATGCAGGAAACAGGTCATCTCAAGAAACTATCTGTTGCTGACATGCAGGAAACAGGTCATCTCAAGAAACTATCTGTTGCTGACATGCAGGAAACAGGTCATCTCAAGAAACACTCTGTTACTGACACGCTTGAAACAGGTGATCGCAAACAGCACAAGTATTGTGGTGGCCCAGCGAAGCAGTCTCAGTGCAGTGAGTGTGGAAAAACATTTACGAAATCACGTAACTTGAAAAGGCACATGCTTTGTCACAGTGAAGTCAAGCCTTATCAGTGTGTTGAATGTGGGAAAACATTTGTACAATCAGGTGACCTGAAGAAACACATGAGGATTCACAGTGGAAACAAACCTTATAAGTGTAGTGTATGTGAGAAAACATTTACAGAATCGGGTACTCTGAAGAGACACATGAGGACTCACAGTGGTATCAAGCCATATCAGTGTGTTGAATGTGGGAAAACATACACTGAATCATATGTTCTGCGGACACACATGAGAATACACAGTGGAATCAAACCTCATCAGTGCACTGTGTGTGAGAAAACATTTACAGAATCGGGCACTCTGAAGACACACATGAGGATTCACAATGGGATCAAGCCCTATCAGTGTGTTGAATGTGGGGAAACATTTACACAATCACGTAGCCTGAAGTCACACATGAGTGGTCACAGTGGAATCAAGCCTTATCAGTGCATCGTGTGTGAGAAAACATTTAAAGACTCATATTACTTGAAGACACACATGAGGATTCACAGTGGGCTCAAGCCTTATCAGTGCATCGTGTGTGAGAAAACATTTTCTCTCTCACGTAATCTGAAGACACACATGAGGATTCACACTGGAGTCACGCCGTATCAGTGTGTTGAATGTGGGAAAGGATTTTCACAGTCAGGTAGCCTGAAGAGACACATGAGGATTCATAGTTAAATCCGTTAATTTCATTAGTGAATGAGTGTACATTACAACTGATATATGCTAAGCCAAGCGACGTGTTTTCGGTTAATCCTTTAATCCATGCATGGGCTTTTGACACCTGCATAACGACAGATGTTGCAGGGTCCAGATTTGACTCCCTCCATATGTATACGTTTTATTATTATTCAAAAGAATATCTTCAAGGAGATGAGACAAGTGTGTGCTAACCCCCCATTTTTCAACAACATGTTGCTCTATCATTACTCAAAATTGTTGATTATGTACACATGAGAAAAGGTTGTGAAAGTAAATAATTTATTTCAATGTATCAGTTTATTGATGTAAAATATGGGCCATGTTCGGCAATGATTTGGGGCCGTTGCCCTTCACTAATAGGACGACGATGGCAGTTGCAGAAACAATTCACTAAAGTTGGACCAGACTTTCCGATATTCCGTTTTCGTGATTTTACTTTCATATTGACGTTTGCTTATTTCATTGTCAATTCAAGAGATTCATGCTTTACATTTGCCCGATTTTTGTGATCGAGGAAATATGCAAACCATATGCAGGTTACAGTCTGAAGTGAAGGCATCTATACACTGCAATGGAGAAATGTGCATAATAAATAAGATCCATATCTGGGTTTTGATTCTATAAACTGTTTTTGCTTTTCTTACCATCGATATTACCAGATTTCTAACATTCTAAACTTGCGCCAATGACTTGGTATGTTAGGACATTTAGCTACCTCATGCTGGCAGGTTCTCCTTCGCACAAAGGAGCGTATTGACTATGCATGGTTCATCTTTGATCCTATAATTATATCATTGGTAGTGGTTGGTGTCGTCATAGACACAGACATAGTTTTTTTTCCACATATAACCACTCACAGTGGTACATGGACATAGATGCAAGAAAGTCATTTGATTAACAGAGGACTCTCGCATGAGAATGAGAATATACACTAAAAGTTAGGAAGTATACAGGAGACAAATCTGCTGAGGTTTCTGAACACTGAGACTTTAGGAGTAGAAAATAGTTGTTGAAGTTTGGGAGAACAGGTAGTTTCATCGATTGTGGATCCAGGCGCTGCTGTCAGTGTTTTGAGTCTTGAAGTTTTCAATGACTCGGGTCTGGTGAAAGAAATCCCTGTTTAAAAGTCAGATGTGACATCTCTTCAAGGAATAAGTCAAAATATAATACCAGTTTTAGGACAAGTTTTACGTCCCATCACTATTGGTGATTTTCAAATGGACCAATTATGTTAATACCGCTCTAACAAAAAATAATAGAAGCAAAAGTATATTCATCAAGTAATATTGAGACATGTTGGTTATACTTATATATATATTAAAACCGAATAAGCACGGGTGGTCAACAGTTAGGTGCAGTTGATGGAAAGGTGTTCAATTTCCAAGCAAAGAAAAGAAAGTCATTAACTATTTAATACTTAGACCAAATGATAGAGCAACTAACCCACTCCCTGTCTTGCAACAGACAATCCAATTACTCAATCTCAACTTGACAAAATGGGAGACGGGCATGACAATCCCAGTGTCAAAGAAATGAACCACACGCATGAACAAAATGCTACCTTTTATTCACAGGAGGATACGTTAGCACAGTAAATGCCAATGTCAATAGTCAATTTCTTTCCTATCCAATAACAAAACTGCAGTTTTCGTATTGGAGACGTCTAATATTGATTTGTGCATATGTTTTATTTCAGGTTTGTCAATGGAGAAAATATTTCAAGGTTCTCTTGGAAAACTGCACTGTTGATGAGGAATCATTATTACATGATTGTAATGCACGGAGCTGGGCCCACATCAATCCACGCGATAGAACATTTGCTACAGTGTTACAAGGTTATTGGAAAATTCAATCGCGCATATAGGTTGAGAATGTCTTCTAGGTCTTCTTGTCTTCTTGTTTTGAATACTACCCCATACTCGGATTATTTTCAGTTACTCACTCACTCACCCACTCACTCACTCACTAGGTATCAATATGCATGGAAACCTTTCCTACAAAATATTGATGATAGCTCATCTTTGATTTCAAGTTAATATTTACGTTTATATACGTGTTTCTTTGGCCTTAATCCAGGAGACCTCTTCAACCAGCATGGGTCTTATTGTTATTAGGTAAAACTGCATCGCCACAAGCTTAGAAAATAATAGCAAAGTCAGGCTTCATATTGGTGGTTATTAGATACACATCCCATGTGCGACACACCTGTTGTTACACAGCCTAGGGATAAATATACTGGAGTATATAGGATTACCAAGGAGACCAAGGTATACATTGATTGCCATTCTGGAGCTTTAGCATGTTATTGTAAAATGTTATGATATAACGAAAAGAAAGGCAGGCGGGAAAAAATTCCTACCTGATTTCTAAGAGTTCAGTTATATCGCCGCGTGTCAGCTTAATGTGGGAGGAAAGCCCGAAGTGATGCAGGTCTCAGGCGTTTACTACTTCGGTGAAACCCACGAACACGGGCTGACAAACCTAGAAACATAATTGGGGCGAACCGGGATTCGAACCCACAATCATAGGTTTCTGGCGTGGGCAAGGGACGCAACTCTGCAAATCGCGGCGCCTTAGACCACTGGGCATCCGGCTTCTGTTGAAATGAAGAGCAGGATACCAACTTATTCTAAAAATAGCTACACTAACGCCCCTACGCCACCATATATTGTACCCCGCAATGTCGGTAGGATATATACTCAAATGCCACACTCGAAAGAAAGTGACAAAGAAAGAAATGGAGGTATTTTACACATGTCTAAAATTTCAATTACCTCAATAAAACTTTTCCCTCATCCTTCAAAACGGGGTTTGTAAAATGCGTCAATCGGAAGGTGTGCAATTATTATAACAGCACGCACGGAAAATGTCAAATACGTGTACTGGTGTAATTAAGAATTAAACGTCACAGGATCAGTGAGCCACGCATTACAGGACAATGACTGGTCCCCTGCTTCTGTTTAGGCCAATGGCAAGGTAACAGTCTATTCTAAAAATAGCTACACACGCGCCTCAATCAGAGACTATGGTTGCAATATGTATGTAGACCCGGATGGTCACACACAACGGTGACACGCGAATGAAAGTGACTGCAACAGATACAGGGTTACATCGCTAATAACTTCGAAGGTACATCATTTGATAACGACTGCTTATAGAGTTGTGTCTCGTTTGTTAATGACGGGAGGCTGCCCTTCAGCCTGGTTCCCTGTGTATGCTGCGCTTGCGCTACTCTGACCCAGGCCATGACCCCACAATATGGCGGCCTCCACTGGACAAAGAAACATGGCGGGCACTATCAGCTGTTTATGTACTTACTATAGAAATGAGCGGGACGGGTGGTTTGAAAATGTTGACATTTTCATGTCGCAATGTATTCGTCACGCTCGTTGTTAATTTGAGTGAAGGAAAACATTTTGAAAGCTGTTTCGAGACGCGAAAGGCCTCGTTACATGGGCGAAATGTAAACAGTGACACACAGCCCATTTTCAACAGCGATATGTGCGTTAATATTTCGTGTCAGCTCGCTATTGTCACAAAATCGCATACATAATACTTGAGACTGAACGACCACATTAATAAAATAACGTTAGCATCTTTATTGTAGCAATTTGATGAAGCACATTTCGACGATAATGACTCATTTTTTCCCTCTGGACTTAATTCATATGAAAATCCATGTATTTGCATAAGACATTAACCGGTAACGGCGAAGCATTATAAAGAAAATATAAATGTAATTCAAATATATAAAATACAAGATCTAAAAATGGAAGAAATAATTCATATATTTTGGTCATGGAAATATACAAATAGAAGTCGGGGCTAATTGGGATAATACTAAAGTTGAATATATTCATTATTTGTAACTATTTTTCATTCACCTGCTGAAGGAGAAAGCATATACTCCGAAACGTTGTGTTCCTCATAATAAAGAACTTGTCATCCATAAATTCTCTTCTTTATGTGTATCACTTCTAAATGTTTTTCAAAGACTTGATTGTTGTGGCATATACCATTTCTACATAACTTTCCAACAAATCGATGTGTATTCATTTTATCACAGGATTGCCCTTGAAAAATACAACAGTGGTCATGAAACAGCAATTAATCAACTGAAGACACTTCCATTTGAGTTTATAGAAAGGACTATTTCAAATCACTATGTTGGCATGCTGCCCTTTGTTTTGGATATTGAAATACTGAGCTAAGATATTATCAGTGAGAAGAAAGTGGAAAAAAACATTAACCATGTTTCCAGTATCGGGTATTTTATTGTCATCAAATGGTGTATAGTCTCAGCTCTAATTGTTATAAGTTGTTGTTTTTTATGGACACATATTCATGAAATGCATTGACATGATAAAGGAAAGTGACAACTTTATTATTCTTTCAGTGAACACCATAACATCCACACAATGATAACGGAAGTGCAAAGCCAACCACAGAATCCTGGCTTTGTTACTGAAACACATGTTGTCATGGACTATGAGAGAGAATTGTTGGGGAAAGGTGGCCGCAAGAAACGCTCTGTTGCTGACATGCAGGAAACAGGTGATCTCAAGAAACACTCTGTTACTGACACGCAGGAGACAGGTGATCTCAAGAAACACTCTGTTACTGACATGCTGGAAACAGGTGATCTCCAGAAATACTCTGTTACTGACATGCATGAAACAGGTGATCGCAAGCAATATATATATTGTGGTGGCCCAGCGAAGCAGTCTCAGTGCAGTGAGTGTGGAAAAACATTTGCGAAATCACGTAACTTGAAAAGGCACATGCTTTGTCACAGTGAAGTCAAGCCTTATCAGTGTGTTGAATGTGGGAAAACATTTGCACAATCAGGTGACCTGAAGAAACACATGAGGATTCACAGTGGAATCAAACCTCATCAATGCATTGTGTGTCAGAAAACATTTACAGAATCGGGTACTCTGAAGACACACATGAGGATTCACAGTGGAATCAAGCCTTATCAGTGTGGTGAATGTGGGAAAACATTTACAGCATCAAGTAGTCTGCAGAAACACATGAGGATTCACAGTGGAGTCAAGCCTTATCAGTGTGTTGAATGTGGGAAAGGATTTACAGACTCGGGTAACCTGCAGCGACACATGATGATCCACAGTGGAATCAAGCCTTATCAGTGTGTGGAATGTGGCAAAAAGTTCACAAAGTCATGTAACATGCAGACACACATGATGATTCACAGTGGAGTCAAGCCTTATCAGTGTGTCGAATGTGGGAAAACATTTACACGATCATGTGATCTACAGAAACACATGATGATTCACAGTGGCGTCAAGCCTTATCAGTGTGCCGAATGTGGGAACACGTTTAAACGATCGGATGATCTGCAGACACACATGAGGATTCACAGTGGAATCAAGCCACACCAGTGCAGTGAATGTGGAAAAACATTTACACGACCATGTGACCTGAAGTCACACATGAGGACTCACAGTGGAATCAAGCCCTATCAGTGTGTTGAATGTGGGAAAACCTACACACGATCATGTCATCTGCGGACACACATGAGAATACACAGTGGAATCAAACCTTATCAGTGCATTGTGTGTGAGAAAACATTTACAGTATCAGGTACTCTGCAGAGACACATGAGGATTCACAGTGGAATCAAGCCTTATCAGTGTGGTGAATGTGGGAAAGCATTTACACAATCACGTAGCCTGAAGTCTCACATGAGTAGTCACAGTGGAATCAAGCCTTATCAGTGCATTGTGTGTGAGAAAACATTTACAGAGTCATGTATCCTGAACACACACATGAGGATTCACAGTGGACTCAAGCCTTATCAGTGCATTGTGTGTGAGAAAACATTTGCTCTCTCGGGAAATCTGAAGAAACACATGAGGATTCACAGTGGAGTCACGCCATATCAGTGTGTTGAATGTGGGAAAGGATTTGCACAGTCAGGTAGCCTGAAGTCACACATGAGGATTCACAGTTAAATCCGTTAATTTCATTAGTGAATATTCCATCTGATCTGCATAACTACAGATGCCGCAGGCTCCAGATTAGACTCCCTCCATATGTATACGTTTTATTATTATTTAAAAAAATATCTTCAAGGAGATGAGACAAGTGTATGCTAACCCCCCATTTTTCAACATGTTAATTATTATTACTCAAAATCGTTGATTATGACCACATGAGAAAAGGTTGTGAAAGTAAAAAAATTATTTCAATGTATCAGTATATTTATGTAAAATATGGGCCATTTTCGGCAATCATTTGGGGCCGTTGCCCTTCACTAATAGGACGACGATGTCAGTTGCAGAAACAATTCACTAAAGTTGGACCAGACTTTCCGATACTCCGTTTCGGTGATTTTATTTTCATACTGACCTTTACTTATTTCATTGTCAATTCAAAAGATTCATGCTTTACATTTGCCCGATTTTTGTGAGAGAGGAAATATGCAAACTATATGCAGGTTACACTCTGAAGTGAAGGCTTCTATACACTGCAATGGAGAAATGTGCATAATAAATAAGATCCATTTCTGGGTTTTGATTCTATAAACTGTTTTTGCTTTTCTTACCATCGATATTACCTGATTTCCAACTTGTCTAAGCTTGCGCCAATTACTTGGTGTGTTAGGACATTTAGCTACCTCATGCTGGCAGGTTCTCCTTCGCACAAAGGAGCGTATTGACTAGTCATTCACGGTTCATCTTTGATCCTATAATTACCTCATTGGTAGTGGTTGGTGTCGTCATAGACACAGACATAGTTTTTTTTTCCACATATAACCACTCACAGTGGTACATGGACATAGATGCAAGAAAGTCATTTGATTAACAGAGGACTCTCGCATGAGAATAAGAATATACACTAAAAGTTAGGAAGTATACAGGAGACAAATCTGCTGAGGTTTCTGAACACTGAGACTTTAGGAGTAGACAATAGTTGTTGAAGTTTGGGAGAACAGGTAGTTTCATCAATTGTGGATCCAGGCGCTGCTGTCGGTGTTTTGAGTCTTGAAGTTTTCAATGACTCGGGTCTGGTGAAATAAATCCCTGTTTAAAAGTCAGATGTGACATCTTCTCAAGGAATAAGTCAAAATATGATACACGTATTAGGACAAGGTTTACTTCCCATGACTAATGGTGAACCACCCATCTCACTCACTCACTCAATTATGGTTTCGGATATTTTTTGGGAACACCTCACTGTGCCCTCCCCTATTGTTATAGGGTACAGGTATAGTCAGCCGTGGTTAAGTGGGTAACAATAGGGGGGTTACCTATAGACTGTTGCATGTCTATATAGAGAAAATTACTATCTGTCAGATTCATAAAATTTTATATACATTTCAACAGTACATTCACAGAAGCATATATTTCATAAAATTTCATATATTTCATATTGATAGATTACGTATTGCATGAATAAATAAATGAATAAATATACATTTCAAATTCACTTTACAGCAGAAATAGTCAGTTCACAATCCAACTTATTCATCCACAGCGTCAGCATATTCAATTGGCGTCAGTCTGCCAGTCAACAAGTTGTCCTTCTCTATCAGGATGTTGTCGTCAATTTGGACAATCCGGCATTTCTCTGAACGTGATTGTTTTTTCTTGATAATGTCAATAAATATAAAGATGTTTGGATGACTTGGGCCCGATTTCTTCAGCTTGGAGTGCCAGCCTTCTAAGTGATTGGTTGTCCTGGAACCCAGGGTCCCAAAATGGTTCCTCGCGTCTCTCCTGTAGCCGGACAGTTCTTTCTGCAGCAAGGCCAATGTTTGGTGGTGTTTCTTCTGTTCTTAATTCAGAATCTGTGTCCGTTGAAAACTAAGTTCTGTCCACCTTGGGAGTTAGCAACAAATCGAACATTAACTTGAGCATTAGCCATTTTGTTATGGCAGTATGACTTACTTACTTACTTACTTACTTACTTACTTTTGAGATTTAACGTGCGCTTTCCGACTGATGCTTATTTCGCACACGGGCCCGGCCAGGCCATTTAATGTGTTTCCGAAAGGGGCGAAAGTGGTGTGTGCAACCCAAGAGGGGGCTTTAGGGGTTGCTTATATAGAATTTGGGAATTTTGAGATTTGGAATAGATGCCGATGGGGTTGGGGAGTAGAACTAAGGGAGCTGGGTATGGTGGATGTTTGTTTGTTTATGTGATTTTGATTTGGTAGATTATAGTGTTTTTAGATGCGTTTTATTAGTTCCGTTTTGATTAAGAATACGCCTAAGGCCTTGAAGTTTTCTAGTTTATTTTGTGGGTTTAGTATTGCTTCTAGAGTGAGAGCCTTTTTTAGATTGAGGGTGGTTTGTAATGCGGTTCGATGTGTTAGGTAGTGTGTGCAGTGGATGAGTGCGTGTTCTGGGGTTTCTAGTTGTTTGCAGTGTGGGCAGTTACCTGTAGTGTTGGTTTGTTGTTTTTTTTTAGGTGGTTATTAAGGTTGGTGTGTCCTGTTTGGAGTTTAGTGATTACTCTGTCTTTTGTTTTTGATGGATGGAGAATTTTTGGTTTGGTTAGTGGTTTGCTGAGTACTTTTTTGATTTGGCTATTTGAGTTTAGATATAGGTTATGCCATTTTTGTGATTTTTTGCTTGTTTACGCTTTTAATTTCTGATTTTGAGATGGGTAAGTTTAAGCTTATTTCTGGGATTTCGAGGGATAGTTTGGCTGCCTTATCGGCGTTTTCATTACCGTATATTCCTACGTGGGCGGGTATCCACAAGAAGGTTATTTGTATGCCTGCCTTAGTTAGGCCGTTGGAGCTTTTAAGTATTTGATTTATTAATTTAGGTCGGTTTTTGGTATTTTTGTTTTGGAGGGCTTGCAGTCCACTTAGGGAGTCGGTAAGTATTAGGATTTTTTTGTGGTTTTTGGATTCTTGATTATGGAGGGCTGAGGCCATGCCAATTAGTTCTGCTGTGAATATTGATTGGTTGTTTGGGAGTCGGAAGGATTGTGTGGTTTTAGTTGGTTGTGTGGTATGGACTCCGAAACCTGTGTGTTTGGAGGTCGGATCTGAAGATCCGTCCGTGTAAATGTGACACCAATTTGGCCAATTTTCGTGTATGTATGCTAGTGTGGTGGTTTTAGCTATGTTTTGGGTCGATTTGTTTATTTATTTGGCTAGCTAGTGTTGTGTCTGTTTGGGGTATTTTAAGTCTAGGGGTGAAGATATTTGATTGTTTGCAGTTTTGTTTAAGATTTTTAATTTGGTGTTCATTTGGGTAGTTTGTTATTTTTTGGGATATTGGGGTAAGTAAGGGGTGTTTACGAGCTAGAGCTTGGTTTTGGGGGCTGATATTTTAGTTTATTAAGGTTTGGATTAGCGGGTTTGATTGGGACGCGGCCCAGAAATTTAAGCTTAGCTGTTCCCTGCGTAGACTTAGTGGCATTTCTCCTGTTAAGGCCTGAAGTGAAGTGTAGGAGGTGCCATGTTGGGTGCGTGTAATTAGCTTGAGAGCCTGATATTGTATTGAGTCAAGTTTTTAGATAGAGAGTTGTTTAGGGTGTTGTATATGGCGCAGCCGTAGTCTAGTTTTGATCTAATTAGTGATATGTAGAGATAGAGGAGGGTATCTTTGGAGGCTCCCCAGTTAGAGCCAGTTAGGCATCTTAGGGTGTTTAGGTCTTTACTGCATTTAGTTGTTAGGTTTTGGATGTGAGCATCCCAGGTGAGATGTTCATCGAAAATAAGTCCTAAGAATTTGGTTTGTTTTTGAAATTTGAGTGTTTGATTGTTTAGCTGGAGGATTGGGGAGGCGGGTTTCATGTTTTTATGTTTGAATACTATTCCTGTTGTTTTTTCTGAGTTAAGGGAGAAGCCCCATTTGTCAGCCCATTGTTGTATTTTATTGAGAGATTTTTGGAGTACATTTTGGGCCATTTTAATGCTTTTAGTGCGGATCCAGAGGGCTCCATCATCCGCGAATTTTGATGTGTTTACTTTAGGGGATAGGCCCTCGAATAGATCGTTCACCATTATATTGAAGAGGGTGGGGCTGAGGATAGGCAGTATGACTTGCACATTCCACTTGATACACTTCCAAGATTGACATCAATCACTCATATAGTTTTAATCATCCCTATGGATTTAATCATGTACATGGGAAAACTGTTCACCTAGTATCATCAAATAATGTACATGAGAAAACTGTTCACCTAGTATCATCAAATAATGTACATGAGAAAACTGTTCACCTAGTATCATCAAATAATGTACATGAGAAAACTGTTCACCTAGTATCATCAAATAATGTACATGAGAAAACTGTTCACCTATTATCATCAAATAATGTACATGAGAAAACTGTTCACCTAGTATCATCAAATAATGTACATGAGAAAACTGTTCACCTAGTATCATCAAATAATGTACATGAGAAAACTGTTCACCTAGTATCATCAAATAATGTACATGAGAAAACTGTTCACCAATTATCATCAAATAATGTACATGAGAAAACTGTTCACCTAGTATCACCAAATAATGTACATGAGAAAACTGTTCACCTAGTATCATCAAATAATGTACATGAGAAAACTGTTCACCTAGTATCATCAAATAATGTACATGAGAAAACTGTTCACCTAGTATCATCAAATAATGTACATGAGAAAACTGTTCACCTATTATCATCAAATAATGTACATGAGAAAACTGTTCACCTAGTATCATCAAATAATGTACATGAGAAAACTGTTCACCTAGTATCATCAAATAATGTACATGAGAAAACTGTTCACCTAGTATCATCAAATAATGTACATGAGAAAACTGTTCACCAATTATCATCAAATAATGTACATGAGAAAACTGTTCACCTAGTATCACCAAATAATGTACATGAGAAAACTGTTCACCTAGTATCATCAAATAATGTACATGAGAAAACAGTTCACCTAGTATCATCAAATAATGTACATGAGAAAACTGTTCACCTAGTATCATCAAATAATGTACATGAGAAAACTGCTCACCTAGTATCATCAAATAATGTACATGAGAAAACTGTTCACCTAGTATCATCAAATAATGTACAGGAGAAAACAGTTCACCTAGTATCATCAAATAATGTACATGAGAAAACAGTTCACCTAGTATCATCAAATAATGTACATGAGAAAACTGTTCACCTAGTATCATCAAATAATGTACATGAGAAAACAGTTCACCTAGTATCATCAAATAATGTACATGAGAAAACTGTTCACCTAGTATCATCAAATAATGTACATGAGAAAACAGTTCACCTAGTATCATCAAATAATGTACATGAGAAAACTGTTCACCTAGTATCATCAAATAATGTACATGAGAAAACAGTTCACCTAGTATCATCAAATAATGTACATGAGAAAACAGTTCACCTAGTATCATCAAATAATGTACATGAGAAAACAGTTCACCTAGTATCATCAAATAATGTTCATGAGAAAACTGTTCACCTAGTATCATCAAATAATGTACATGAGAAAACTGTTCACCTAGTATCATCAAATAATGTACATAAGAAAACAGTTCACCTAGTATCATC